ATACCGAATGCCGAGGCCAGTGGTGAGCCCGCCGAACGTGCCGTATGCCCTGAAGATTATGAATGCTTGTGGGAGAAACAACGTGACGGCGAACGTACTCGAGCGGACCGGGCAGCGCGATGCTGGAATCGTCCCTTACCAGCTTCGCGCGCGCTTTGGCGCTGAAACCTTCGGAAAACCATTTATCGAAAGCGATGAGCTCTTGAGCGAATTTGCGTCGTTCTGCTTCGTACTGTGGCACATAAATCATGGATTTATAATCAGAGAGCAAACTATAAGGTGCGTACGGTGTCAAGCGGTGCCATCGGACTCCAACCTTTGACAACGTAAGCGAGCTTCCACGCTGAACGAGGGCGAGACAGTTTCAGCCATTTGAGGACACAGTCTATCACTTGAACTTACCGAGGTTGTGCCCATCATTTATGGAAACGTTCATGCCTTGTCCGCCCTTTGGCAAGTGGGTATGGCAGGCGTCGCCTACAATGAATGCTCTCCCCTGATCACAGAATCTGGCTGCAACCCGTTGGCCAACTGACACGATCATGCAGAAAACGGCCATACAGTGAGCATGCTTCCAAGTTTCCGGAGGCAAAACGGACGCACTGATATAAGCAGTGTACCACTCAACCTTGTCAGGCGTAGTTTCAAAGGTGTACGGCTTGAATGCACGCTTGGAGATGTCAAGCAGCTTATCTGCAGTGATCTTGCTGGTATCCGGTCGTCCGCGCTCATCTTGTTCGAATTCATTGGCAACGCCGAGCTCGACGTATACTCTGACTTTATTGTCCTCGCGAGGAATAAGCACGAGGCCAGCATCAGCAGCGTTGACCGTCGCAACGTTCCGCCAGTGGGGGAAGTCGCTTGACGGCAACGGTGTGAAGTCAATTGCTCCCCAAACTCGGTCTAAATATAAAATGTGACAGATTGATTTAATCATAATGCAGCTTCGTGAGCGAGAGTGACCCACCGGTGCTATCGCCCTCCATAGGAATACCAAGCGTATGACGGACCCAAGAGTGCGCCCCATCCGCACCGACAAGGAATCTTGCACGGACCATTTCGAAAGAATGAGTTCCTGGAGCATCTGAGAGATGCTCCAGTACAATCTATCGAATGATGGCTCATCATGCGTGCGTGATAGAGAGAGAGAAAAATAACATACTTTGACGGGGTATGACGCGGGATCCTTCAGCTCGTCTTCAGAAGAAGACAGTTCCAAGCTTGTCGGTCTGCACGGCCGCTCGACTGTCACGCCGGCATCTCCCAGGCCGGACAGGAACAACCCCTCTATGAATCCCTGATGATGGGTTATAGCGTGTTTATGCCGTGCGGTAGGCTCGTTTATCACTGGAAATTTGCCAGTATGCTGACGAATATCATTACTATAATTTACCACTCACTCACAAGCAATAAAAGGATACGATGCGCACCTTGATACCACCGGTAGAAGGGTCATGATTGTAGCTGCTCTGTGGGTACGATAACGATTACCACAATATCACTGTATAATTTGCCGTTCGATACCTACAAATGCGTTCACATGATGACCCCTTCTGAAAAGTTCATTACTAATACCATTGCTCTGCGAGGTTGCGGATCATTTTTACATTTCGAATGACATAGTAAAGACGCACATTGAGAATTTCGATGGTTCAGGGCTGTATTCCGTCTGCATGGCCTACAGAAACTTTCTGTGCTCTGATAAAACCATAAGTACTACGCATCCGAACTGGGTGGGAACATGCCGGATAGCATGCACCCACCTGATATCGACAATTCTGACTTTGACTCCCGCTCTTGCAAGACCGAGCGCGGTGGTAAGACCCGCTGGTCCAGCACCTACGACGAGAACGTCAATGAGGGATTCTGGCGACGCAGAAATCGGAGAATTCATTGCTATCGGCAGATTCAAGTTGAGGCACGGATGTGACAGCCAAAGCAGCTGGGGGCATCCACGTATTATAGCATTGTTATCTGCAAAGCTTGTTTGCGGGACGCTGGTGGAGGCAATGAGAAATACATACAGCATGGTCAAATGGACGTGTGAAACGGTCGCCCAATGCAGGAATGCATCTGATCCCGCGCACGGTAGAGAGCGCGCGGAGGATTCGCTGGTCGTTTGTCGGTCCTTCTAGATAGCGCTTGCTACCTCTATAGGCTGTGTCCGGCTGCACAAAAAC